TTTTTAAATTGATTTATATCATTGAATCTTGTATTTTTTTTGATAATTATTTTATAATAAATTATTTACATATAGTGATAATCTATAATTAAAACAAATCTTAACTTTACATAATATATTCAAGAGTTATAAAGCTATATACAATTTTCTCTCAAAAAATCACCCTTTAAATTTTACCATATAATGTGTCATGAAAAAAGAATTAATAGAAAGTCAGAAAGGTAAAATTATTATTGCAAAAAAACTTGACCATACATATATCAAAGTCTCTAAGACTATAGGTTATTCCTATTCTTCTATGATCTATGTATTAGAAGTATATAAGCTTAAAAAATTATCTAAAAAATGATTAGATTATTTATGAAAGATGAAAGAAATATTAAATAATTTATTTTATTTAATTTTATTTATTTATAAAAGATTCTGATATTTATTTATTCATAAAATAATTCAGATATTTATATAATGATTTTAATATTTTGTATGATCTGAAGAAGAGTTTGATGGTAAGAATTTTTGTTTTGGATTACTAAAGTCTTGAGATGATTGCATGCAGATTTGTTATGAATTAGTAGATGATCTGATTATTTTTAGATGATTTTTTAAGTTCATGTGTTTTTAACATGTGAATTACAGAACAATTTACAATTTTAGAGACTTTGATATGTGTGTGATCAAGTTTTTTTGCAATAATAATTTCACCTTTCTGACTTTCTGTTAATTCTTTTTTCATGATATATTATGCGGTAAAATTTAAAGGATGATTTTTTGAGAGAAAATTGCACGTAGCTTTATAACTCTTAAATATATCATATGAAGATGAGATTTATTTTAATTATAAATTATCATTATATATAAATAATTTATTATAAAATAATTATCAAAAAAAATACAAGATCTAATGATATAAATCAATTTAAAAATATATGAAATGTCTAATACTTCTTTTCACCTTCTGTATATTTTATCATATATCTTATCTTATTTTTTTCTTACTCTATTGAGAAAGTATTTTATTAGAAGTAAAATATGTATAAATTATCTTATTGAGAAGATAATTACATTTTAATTAGAAGTAAACTTACATAAATTATCTTATTAAGAAGATAATTATATTTTATCAAAAGTAATTCTTGCATATATTATCTTATTGAGAAGATAATTAGTTATATAATCTTTTAAGTTATAAAAAGTAAATAATTGCTATGAACACAGTTACTATTATCATTTTAAAATAATTATATACGTATAATCTTAAAACAGTAATAGTATATTATTATATATTTTTTAAATAAGATATAAAAAGAATTTTGTTATAATGTAATAAGTAATTAAAAAGTACATAATAAGTAAAAAGGAAAAATATATTAGTAAGTAAAAGTAATATAAAATAAGAAGAGATTTTTTATTAGTAAATAAATTTTTTTTGTTTATGCCAGCAAAAATAAAATAGCAAGCAAGCAAACAATAGTTAACAAGTCAAGATTATTTTGATATACGTGTAATGCAGTCGGAAAATCGATTTTCCGACTGTAACGCCGAATCCCTTCCGAAGTGATTTCAGCCACAAATATCACATGACAAAATCACATGTCCATCAGGCTTTAGCCAACCCCTAAATATAGATTTATTATGGTTTATTATTGGCCAGACCATATCATTTGTCACTCGCGCGATTGTTTTTAAATTTTTGCGTTACCCGCATCATGGTTAACTCGAGATTGTTTTTAAATTTTTGCGTTACCCGCATCATGGTTAACTCGCGATTGTTTTTAAATTTTTGCGTTACCCGCATCATAGTTAACTCGCGATTGTTTTTAAATTTTTGCGTTACCCGCATCATGGTTAACTCGCGATTGTTTTTAAATTTTTGCATTACCCGCATCATGGTTAACTCGCGATTGTTTTTAAAACATTTGCCCACTATTAAAAGGCGGGTCAATATAAATTAATCTTTTCTCTTGTCTGATACTGGCAGAAAGATAGTACTTTGATAATAATACAAGTTTTCCCCTGATCGAAGTCGAAGGAAATGCTTTTCGTATTTCTGTAGACCTAGATCTGCCGAGAAGCCGAGAAACGCTTGCGTTTCGGTAGGTGGAACCCGAAAAACCGAGAAACACTTATTGTGTTTTGGTAGGTGGTGAAAATCCGAGAAACATTTATGTTTCGGTAGGTGCACGGGGCCGGTGCCAAGAAGCCGAAAAAACATGTGCAATGCATGTTTCGTAGGTGGTGAAAATCCGAGACATATTTCATAGGTTGACGATGCCTAAGAAGTATGTTTTGTAGGTGTATGGCTACGGGGACTTGATTATCAAACGAACTCTTTTGACCATTGTCGTAGGCAAAGTTTGTGTATTTACTCTTCGCCTGTAAAGGTCAGTGTGTGAAAATTTATAGTTAGGTGATTGGAGCCTACTTTATAGACCATAGGTGCTTTATTAATTTCTATTGCGCTTTTTAATTACAAATCGAAGATGCAAATAATAAACAAGCAATCAATTATGGCAATTTTTTCAGTTTTGGATCTTGGTGAACTTTTGCAATTACAAAAATTCTGAATTGGATTCCTGGACTGAGGATATTTGACGTAAAATAAGATAAGTTTTGCCATTGGTTTAATTTTATCTGCATTATCCAAGAAAAAAAAATATGTCTCCCAAATAAGTTAGATGCGTCGCTCAAATTCAGACGAAACTTTATTTTTACAGAATAATTGAGTTCAAAAAAATCTGACTACAGTTATTACTACCTTAACAGCTCGTCGAATAGTATAGATTTTCGATCTCTCCCGCATTAGTGATATACCATGAACGGTGCCAACTAGAACCGGAGAATTTTTTCGAAAGCCATGCAAGCATTTATTGGAAAGAGGAAGGTATATATTGCATTTTGAATTTGTGGTGCGTTCCATTATAAATATTTCTTTGATTGCTTTACATTTCTTGTTTCTAACTACCTTTACTCAAATTTCAGGTTTTGCAATAGTTAGAATATATAAATTAGTATTAGAATGAGAGTATCTTAGTTGCAATTATAAAGCAGTAATAAAGCTGGCCCTGGTGGCTCGATTTCGCATACATAATCAGTTTACTTTTGCATATGTATTTCGGGATTTTATTGACATCGATGTATACTAGAGGCTTTGCCTCATCGCCTCACAATACTCACATATTTTTGATCGGAACGGAACACATAATTTTTTTTATTCTGAATAAAACTGCTTATATAAAAAATTATTATAAAACATGCAATCCAAATTAGATTTGTTGAGACAAGAGAATGCAAGACTTACGGCTAGAATCACAATTGGAACAAAGTCAGATTGGGGAATCAAAACTTATATGGAAGAGAGTGTTAAACGTGAAGCTGAAAACATTGAGCTTAAAACTGAAGTGATGAAATTAAGAAATGATGTTGAGGAGCTCAAATGGAAAAACCACTCAAACTATTACTAATGCTCCTTACACGAAAGACAATTCACAATCACAGGTTTGTTCAATATTACCAGAAACTTCCCAGATAAATATTATTTTAACACTTGATGAGGATAACTCCGGAGATTTAGTAATAGCAGTGCCAGCCCTACCGAAAATATTCCCAATATAACTCAACACACCTATGCAAAGGCTAAATCATTAGAGGATAGAAATATGGATGATTTCCTGGATTTGGTGAATAAAGAAGAGGTAAGTAATATGATAATAGAGAGAAATCGAGAAAAAAAGCTAGCTCAAATAGCTGAAGCTCCTGCTTCTCGAGATCAAGAATCGGTACAAAAAATCCTTGTTCTTCTGGAAATCCTACATTTGAGGTACAGAGTACCATTTCTCACGAAATAATTACCCAAGACACTGCATCTACTCTGACTCCTAACCAGAAAACTATTCAATCGGAATCTCTGTATGAAGAAGCAAAACTTCAAGTCACCGACTCATTTACTGTCTCATGCCAAACTTCAGCTAAATCGGAGCAAATATCCATTGATCAGAAAATTTCTTATAATCTGAAAGTAGAACAAGGCATAATGCATGAATTATCAGTTTGAGCCACGAAATTCAAGACATAGATGTGCAAATTCCTGAACTCCCTCTAGACAAAATATTAACAGGATCTGATGAAGTTACGGCTCAGATTATAGTAGATTTGTTTCATACAGCAATGAAAACTAGACAAAAGGAGAATTTATGTTGGCATTGTTACACTAAAACATACAAAAATCGAGTTATGGAACGAATAACATCGATGACAAATCAGCGAGAACATTGGTTTATAATGAAATCAAGGCACTTCTTCCTGATATCACTGTAAATCTGCGTAAAAGAACTTTCAAAGCTAAAAAAATTTATACGTTGTTTGATGGAATAGGAATAGATAAAATTAGGCAAATAACATATAGTGCGAATGCTATTTCAAGTTTAAAAAGATGATCAGATTCGAAATATCATAAATCGTTTTCCCAAAAAACCTACGATACGATTAATTGATCAGCGTTCTGAAAAAGAACGCGCACGTGACTGAACTGCCTAGTTCAAACGATATATCAAACACTGAGGTAAGCATACCTACTGAATCTCAAGTTTCCGATTCTTCTGGCTCTGAACCATCCCAAAGAAATGATCAAGATTCGAAATCACCAGAAATCCAGGTAAGTGTATCTATCAAAGAGACAAAATCTCAAGTTTCCAACTAATTAACTTTTTAGAAATTTATTAATTATTAATTTCAAGTCTTGTTAGTTAAAGAACTTGAAAATTTATTAATTATAAAAATTTCTTTTATAATAGTTTGAATTATACTAATCTATATTTATATGAAATATAATTTAATCTACTATTAATTATGTAACTTAATTAGTAAAATATTAAGTATTATATTAATTAAATATAATAATTAAATTGATAATATATTAAATATAATGATAATCTAATTAGTATAATATTATTTGAATTAATATTTTATTATATATTTAGAATATCAGTTAGAAAAAATATATATTTAAGATAATTAATAATATAATATAATAATAAATATTATATTAAATAAGATGATAAGAATTAAAAATAAAAATTAATAATTAATAATAAAAATAATAATAATAAAAAAAAGATATTATTAAAAAATATAATAAAAAAAAGATTATAATAATGTAATCAAGATTAGTAATTAAAATAAAATGATAATAAAATTTCTTTCTTAAGAATTTTACTTTATGAAACTTATATAATAATAATTAGTTTTAACTTATTAAACTCAATATAAAGCTTAAGATAATCTTTATTATTTAGAATTTTACCATCTAAAATATATAATTTATAAGTTTTTTTATTAAATTTATTATAAATATAATAGAATTCTTTCTATTTTTCTTCAAATTTATTATAATGATATTATTATATTATTATTATAATAATATAAATTTCTTTAATTTTATAATTTTAGAAATTAAGATTTTTAATTAATTAGTTATTTTATAGAAAATATATAATTTAGAATAATTTAATTAATATATTAATTAATTTTAGTTATACTTTAATTATAATTTAACTTTATTTTAGTCTTACTTTAATAATATTTCAGAATTATAGATATTGTAATCAATCACTTATTCATGTAGTGCAGTAGACATGATGCAGTAATCACTGATTACTACTAAATCAGGTGAATAAGTAATTTTATTAATTAATTTTATTTATAATTAATTCTATTTTTAATCTATATTATCACCCATATTTAGCCTTATACAAATATTAGTTTAGCTATGTGTGTCATATATAATTTATAGTTTTATTAAATTAATAATTTCCTAATTAATTATTATTAATTTTCTTTTATTTCTCACTTTAGCTTTG